TCTACGCAGTGCCAGACCGTTTTCTACCACTTGGGTGCCTCTTGCCCACTTCAACATTTGCTGGACAATGGGCTGGTGCCCCACCGAACCTGGCCATCTGACACGCCTCAACAGCGAGCAAGACTGTGTACATGGGGACAGAAAACGTCAAAAATTTCGGGCGGTGCTGTCTGGGGCGGGTAATGGCGCATTTCACTATCCATTCAATTTCAGGCGACTATCGAAGTACCCGAAGACTATGACTACGCAGTCGTCATAGAATACCATAATCATGAGAAATCACAGTTGCCGCTTATCATCGAAATGGTCCAGGACGGAAATGTGAAGCTAAATGGCACCATCACTATACATAACTGCCCATTTGCGTAAGTCTCATGTGTTACAGAAAGAACCTACTGTATCCGGCATAAATACTGTAATCTTTGCAGAACATTCTGCCGTGAAGTGGTGACAGATGCTGGCAAAGTGGCTATGATTCCACTGGCCAAAGGACCAGCTACCGTACAGATGCATGTACCGCCGAGAGCCGACTTTGGCCTTGCTGCTGTAAACCTTATTGCCAAGAAGGAATGGAATAACGAGTATCTGCAGCAGGTATAAAAGCATCTGTCCTATCAGGCTCAAATTAGAGCTACACAATCAATAGCGGAAATTACAGGTACCAGTGTGTGTACGCAAGGATGGCAGATGCGTTCCACAACAGTATCCTCCGGCCGGTAATTCTATTGTAGCCGAAGCCGAAGCTGGTCAAGTAAGTTTCCACGGGACCCGGGCGATTCTATCGTCGGCAAGACAGGTCACGTCGCACACGTCGCGTCGCGGCGTGTCGCGCGGCCACGCGGCGCGGCAATCCCGGCGTTGCATTACCGTACTCCCGAGTTGTCACTGGAGCAAGGGATTAGCGTTGTTTCAAAGGTAACCTCAAGAGTAAGAGTAATAGTCAATAATCATAACAGGAAAGGAAATAGGATAGGAAAGACATAATAGGAAAAAAGATAACCAAAATAGGATGACTCTTTCAAATTGTTAAAGGGATCGTCAACCCTTTAACAATTTGAACGCCGCGCAACAGAACTCGTACGCGGCGGCCGCCACGCCGCCGGCTCCGCCCACCGGCGCGACGACCCACTTATCGTCGACGATAGAATCGCCACACACCCGATTCTTCTCTCATTCCAATTTTCCAAACCTTCGTAGTGTTCTTTGTAGACACACTCCACGATAAACCAAATGGGGCAGGGACTCATATTCATGTTTTTCTCCTTGTGACTCTTCTTTTGATTACTGTTAAAAGAAGGGCGGTCGAGTGGAGGATTGGCATGGTGGTTATGATTGTCTATCATTCCTCCCTCTGTTCAGCGTTATGCGGACTGTCTTCGACTATTAGCCAGTTTTGATTCTTTGATCTGTTTTAACCTGGTTCACCTCGTATTCAGGAGAATCAGTCGCCCAGGCGATTAAGCTGCCCTTCGCCGATCGCAAATCCTAAAGATCGTGACTGTCATGCACTGGATGAGATCTAGCGTAAGATCGCGGCCTGTAAGGGGGGGGTGTGCGTGAGCGTGTCGAATTTGATTGCCGCGCGTCTTTGTCGCGTGCGGCGCGAAGACATTACCTACCTTTTCGATTGTCAAGGCACCCATTTTCAGGGAACTATCGAAGTGACAGGTGTTGTGCCTGCACGTGGACATTATATGTTCCTCGTACATTACTTCAATCCAGACAATACTCCCCTGAACATAGGAGTATTGCTCCAGAATGATCATTATTTTCGAAATGTAAGCTTCCAATTTATCTCGAATCATCCTGTCTAAAGGTGGCAGAGGCCCACTCACTGCACATTAACGTGATTTGTGGCCTAGATATTAAGTATTGCCTGAGCTTGCTCGTAACCTGATTTGAAGGCCACTGGACCCCGCCTATACCAGTCAGAATAGGAATGCGATGAATGTTTTTAAATATTGTCTCCAGATAATGTTGGCCTGATTAAACACCTCAACGAGTGTGTAGAGCCAACGTTTGTTAAGAAATGCATGGCAGTGTCCAAGAGGCCGACAAAGGCATGCTTTCATAGACAAGATTACTTGGAACTTTTCAGAAAGTGAAGGAATTCTGCTTGATAATATTGGTTTGTTCCTTTCGTTTCCCACACCTCGTGCACACCACACCAGCCATTTCCCAGCTTTTACCCTATTCGCTTTCATTCTATTGATCGCCGCGCTTGGCCCTTTGCGAATGAATTCTTTTGTTTTTTTTCTGCAAAATAAGATGTCTTTTGCAGCTTACCGCTACTGCTTGGCGTACTGCCCGTCGGTGGAGTTGGATGTCAGGGCACTTAATCAGCGGATAAAGAAAAGCCAGAGGTTAGTTAGATTTCTTGCGATTTCTAGCCAAATTCCCGTTGGATTGATGATCAAGCGTTCAATTCAGATTATTCAATTCTGGATGGAGGACAAGTACACGGCAACCCTTTACCACAACAATACCCAGAAAGGCCCAATATTTATTGTAAGTTACTACAGATTTCTCTTTAAAATCCCTTATAAAGCTGTTCCGCAAGGCATCGTTTATAAATATTAGGTCGGTTCGCAGACTCTGAGCTGTAGGAATCCTGAATCAAAGTGATATGGGTTATTTTCAGAAATAGAGCAGCTCTTGCCTCCAGTCCACTATGGGGTTGGGTGGAGCTGGCCCTACCATCGGGCTTGTCGCCGCCTCCTTTTACCAGTTCTCGGGAAATGCAGGATGGTGCCACCAATGAAAAAGCTCGAGGTGTTGACCGAGAAGCCGCTAAGGCAGTGCCATAAAAACCTTCCCAATGCTCTACTTTATCTACAGTACTTTCGTTTCAGGACTCTATCACCGCCGTACCGTTCCACTCCTACAGCGAAAACCTGATGCGACCATTACCCATCGATCTCTCGTCAGAATTCATTCAGCAGTGCAGTGCTGACTTCTATCAGAACGAGTACGTTCCGTTTTTGCTTCCACCTGGTCACCTAATTTTCAGCGTTGTACGTTGGGGGGGGCACATGGCACATTCAAAGGACTCCCTGTGCAAGACTATTACTGCTAAAGGGTGAGAGGGTATTTGCCTGAACCTAGAGAAAGAAGAAGCTTCGGTGTGTGTGGGGCCAACCTTACTGAGTCACTACAATTAACCCAGTTTTGCCCCACAAGGATCCTTCGACTATTCCTCTCCTAAGGCGAAAGCGCGCTCTTTTACTCGCCTTTTCACATGAATTTTGTTGAGCCGTAGTTGTTCAGCCCAGACAACGTCACCGATTTCTGCCGTGACAAGATCTTCTCATTGACAACGGACTTCAATGCAGCCGCGTTTTCATGTGATTGTAATCCTAAGGTATTGAATTTAGAGAGTAAGTAGGTAGTAGTAACTCGTTCGAAAGTATTCTTAAGGGCTCTGAATCCTTTTTGCTGCGACGAATACTGGTGCGACAAATGCAAAATGGCAAGGCCAAACATCATTGGACGTCGTGTGATCCGATTGTGCCCCTGGCTACTACAATTATCCGGACTGTATCAGTAGTTGGCTTCCTTCCCATCTTCATAGCCTTGAGCATGCTGAATGACAATCGTTCGGAGTAAATTCATTTGCTGGACGAGTCTTACCGTAATCGTCGTGAGCGGAGACAGGCCAACAATTGCGTCTTTCTTTCACCACGATGGACTGCTCCTATCCCATATGCTAAATAGGAGGTACTCCACGGGAAAGACACGATAATAGGTCCTTCTCCACTCACTTGAACAGTATTGACGGTGCCTTCAAGGCAGAAGCCACGCCTACTGGACCAGTGGCGTCTTCCAGCTGTTTAAAAAGCTTCAGGGTAAAGAAGTTCCTTGTTCAGAGTGCAAATGTAGCATTGGTCAGCAGTGCAACGAGCAAACCGGTCAATGCTTCTGTCCTCCTCATGTCGAAGGCACCGCTTGTGATAAGTGTGTCAGCTACGCCTTCGGTTACGATCCTCTCATTGGATGTCAAAAGGTCCGTCTTTTATCTCATCTCATTATATATTTTTTAGCGCTAAGGAACCGGGGTTTTTTGAGTGGGGCTGGCCCCGGAGTTCTACTTCCATTCGTGTTTTTTTCCTCTGCCCTCATCAGCTTCAAGCTCACTCCAGACCTTCTTCATCAAACTGTCCAACCGGCCGAAAAAGTGCAGGATCACTGAAAACCACTTGCCGAGTGATAGCAATTATTGGGAGCACATTCAGCAATTTAATTAGCCTACTTTTATACCCTGGGTGGATTACTTGTAACCACAGTCTGTGGAAACACCTCTGAACTATTTCGGAGCCTCTTCCATCCTTTGTTCAGCAGTGCGGCTAGAGCCTTGTCGGGAGATCCAAACTTTCCTTACTGGGAAAAGGAAGATGAGGAGCCTTTTTAAAGGCTCGGTTGTTGAACTTTAGTAATGAGTCTTCAGTGGCGTTTGTAGCCCATCCCGCGACCCAATGGTTACAGCAAATAGCCGGGATTATTCTTGAAGTTCAATCCGACCTGTTCAATGCCCTTAGAACATCTCGGCCCACCCCTTTTTTTTCTGCCATGTTGCTCGGGTTCAAATTTATTTTGCAGGAGGCAGTGTTCAACTGCAGCATAGGCTGCCCCAGCTAGAGTTTTTTGCCGGTTTCTTTTGATTTTCCCACGGACAGACCACTTGGCCCCACAGCTTCCACTTATTAACGGTCTACCCTTCAGGAAAGTGCTATTTGAGATTAGAAAATGCATCTTTTCCTGTGATGCCTTTTGCTCCGGCACAGATGATAAGTGTTTTCAGTGCGGCTGTCACCCACAGGGTTCAGAAGGCGCGTCTCTTCAATGCGATCCCAATAGTGGACAATGCCTGTAAGTTTTTGACTAGTAATTCTTCAAAGGGTCCTCATAAAGGGCTGTTCTACCTGAAAAGTACATCTGTAATTATTCTTTTCACAGGTGTCTAGCAAATCGAGCGGTGGCCGTCAGTGTTGATTCGTTGTCTGGCCGGTTTCTACGGTTTCCCTCACTGCTACGGCTGTAGATGTAATTCAGCCGGAACAACTGAAGAGATCTGTGACCCTTCAACGGCTCAGTTGCACTTCAAGCCGTTACGCAGCCTTCTACTGTTTGCTTTGATATTGAACAGGCAATCTCAGTTTAGCAACTGGCGAAATTCTAGGAAAATGTAGCTGGACCAGCCTGTGACACCTGCAAATCGGGTACATTCCACTTGTCAGCCGAGAATCCTAAAGGATGTATCAATTGCTTCTGTTTTGGCACTACTGATCAGTGTCGCTCCAGCATGTTCCCTGTCTCTATCGTAAGTTCTTGCTATACCATTTCTGACCAAGAAACGAGTTTGAGCAGAAAAGCTAAGGACTATCTCTCTCAAACTTGCCTTATGTGCTTCTTGCTCTTTCTTCCTGCTCTTCTTGAACACGAGCAATTTCAGAGTTCCGTCGACATGTCCATGTTCACAACGAACGATCCTGCTGGAACTCTGGAGTTTGAGAACGATGTCGTCAGCTACACAGCTGGTGATAACTCCACTGCCAGCGTATATTTCAACGTCCCCATAGAACATGGAGCCGACTACACAGCGAGCTATGGCCTATTGGTGAGTGTCTCAAGTGTATTGCCAGCGCATTGCAGATTCTTTCGATACATTTATTAGGCGCAGTTCGGCAGAAGGGGGGGGGGGCACTTCGCACGCTTTGCTGCTTCCATCAACGTCTCGCCCAATTAGACAGCCTCTTCTCGAGTTGGAATGGGCTGATGGCTTGACGATGCTCGCTCCAGCTTTCACCAAGGAGTTCACATTCACTCAGAGGAGACTTGTAAACCGGAACCAGTTGACCACTGAAAGTGCAAAATGCCCCCCCCCCTCCTGCCGTCGCCGAACAGCGCCCAGTATTCGGAATGAAATGATTTTGGTAGGATTACAATGCTTGCAGGGGCCACCCAATGGAGATGGAGAGGAATACCCCAGAAATTAGGTCTTAATCCATCTCACTAAGGACTCAGTACCACTGTTTGATCGATTCCTGAATTCTTGGTGTTCTCTGAAAGAGCTGTCTTCATGATCATGTGGGCGGAGTTGGGCCTGCCATTGTTGTCCTCTCCGTTCTTCTATGTCTTCTAGGGAAAGCCGAATAATAGATGAGGCGTCAAACGGCGAAACTCAAAGTAGCCCTGTTCTTCCCCCATATGACAGTGCGGACTGTGTCATTTAGATATTTTTACTGCCTGCGCATTCCTGTTCAATGCTTATTGGTGAGGGATGGGCGAAATGGTTTTTGGCGAAGTGGCAGCCTTTTTTTCGGCAGCGACAGACTGTGTCATATTTTGTATCACGTTTTCCACCAACATTGCCGCCTCTTAAACAACTGCTGGCGCACGCCCCATCTCCCGCAGCAAACAGCGACTGTATTTCGACTGAGGCATGGAATAAATAAGATAATAAGTAATTAATATAGAGATGTTCAGCTTTTCTTTCAGTTGTACTTCCAACTGTCTGTTCAACCACCTGACGATTCATCCGAGAATGAGTGCAGACGCTGATGTTCGCCTCTATGGCAACAACATGACCGCGGAATTCTGGGCGCCCGAACAGCCAGCTGACCCGAAGGAAGCGTTCAACGTCCGAGTAAAACTCGTACCGGTAGGAAACTTTTTATATTCCGGCCGTTCACCCTCTTTTCTTGCGTCACTGCCCCCTTTCCCTCCATTCAAGTCATTCTTTAGTGAAAGCGCTGTTTCAGGAGAATTTCTTGTCAGCCAGCGGACAGCCAATCACTCGTAGTGAAACTCATGATGATTCTACACTCACTCCAAAATATCACGCTCAAGGCGTCCTACTACAGTAACCCAAGTTCAGCTCAACTTATCGACTTTGGACTAGAAGTCTCAGGCGAGGTAACTGAAAACATCCTAATAGAACGCCAGTGTAATAGATGTTTCAATTTACCTGTTCCAGCACTTCCCCTTGTCGGCCGATAAAAGCTCCTCAGTTGGCCAGTGTTCCTCGTGTCGGCTCCATACCACTGGTTGCCTAGCTGTCGCACTGCGCTTCCGGGTTACTACCGAGTAGCAGAGTGGTCGTTCCTGGAGCCTGCGCGTGCCATGCTGAATTGCAACGGACATCAGATCCTGCCCGATCGGATACAGGTACCACGTATCTTTGACATTTATGAACAGTAATTGATCGATACCAATTGGTTACCCTCCAGGTGTATGTTTCGATTGTCAACACAGCACTTATGGAGATCATTGTGAGCTGTGTGAAGAGGGACATTATGGAGATGCAACTGATGGCAGCCCATACTCCTGCATGCCATGCCAGTGTCCATTCTCACCTACGAACAACTTTGCTACTGGATGTCAGGTAACAATTGGTTTCTGAGGAAAAAGTAAAAGAAAAGGCATAGGAAAGGCACTTGAAAAATCCTCAATAATTGGGAGCCTTCTTGCTAGCACATTCAGGACTCATAAGGACCCAGCCCGTATCGCACTGCCTTGAAAGGACAAGACAGTCCACAGACTCAGTTGTGAGCGCGGCAGTAACTGCACTATCTGTGGAATATCGGGGTTCACAGTAAGGCAATGCAGACAGTCTCTGTTCCAGAGAGCGCAGGCGGTACAAGAAAACGCTGGGCACAGCCATTCAGAGGATGACAGTTGCCCTAAACGGACAACATTCCATGGGTGCACTGCTACAAACTCACAATAATCACAAGCTCACAACTAGGTTCCTCGACACGGCCTATCCAAGCGCCGTGCTGTGGGCTGTAATAACATGATTCGAAGGATCCTGCGGTCGATATCGGTGCGTCATGTGGGGGCGTAGTAAACGCACGATTTTTGCGCGGCGCTTGCTCTTTTCTACCATTCGCTGGTGTGGTCAGACCTTCATAGAAAGAGCGTTCCGTCCCGCAAAAACGTATATACGTAGGGGCTCCGGAGTGCTCGATAAGCGCTATACCCAGTTAAATGTAGCCTCAGGATAGGTGCCTTTTCCCTTCGGTAAGACATGAAGCTTTCATGGTCGCTCACTCGAGCTATTCTTACTCCTTGAAATGTTCTTGTGCGCTATTCATTTTATTAGCTTCTATTTGAGGTGTCCGAGTATGGTCAGCTGCTCTCATGCAACTGTAAACCTGGCTATACTGGAGAGCGTTGTGACAGGTATATCAAATTTCGGCTGGTATAGAAAGCTGTTTCTGCTGCAGACGCTTTTGTATGTCAGGGGCCTTGCCTATGGAGGGGTGTTAGCCCTTGTTCATGAATAGCTGTCGCTTGCCCACTTCAACTCGATGAAGAGCGGGCTGGCGCCGTGCCAAACCCAAGCCCCTGACGCGCCCCCAATGTCTGCAGCGGAAACGACTGTGCTCAACTCAAAGTGTGACCTTCCAGATGTGACGCCGGTTTCTTTGGTGAACCTCAACGCCCAGGCGGTTCATGCCAGCCATGTCACTGTAATGACAACAATAATCTGACGGATTCAAGAGCCTGTCACCCAATCACTGGTGATTGTTATCTTTGCGAAAGGAACACCGACGGCCGACATTGCGAATATTGTGCTCAGTGGTGAGTGGATTTTGGAACTATCTTGAGCGTTAGGTTCAAAATTTGTGGTCTCTAGCATCGCGTTCGCTCCCAGAACAACGTTCCACACCATCCCTTCACTTTTTCCTTAGGGGTTCATTTCACGGCTCAGCGATGTGCGACAATCAAGTTGGCGAGTGCCAGTGTAAACCGAATGTCGAAGGAACTAACTGTGACAGATGCATTGTAAGTCAACCCATGTCTCATACGCACGGTCCACGATAGTCATGTGGGCGGAAGCAGATGAGAGACCATCAACAGCAGCAAATAACAAATAGGCATTCATTATTTTTAGCCTGACCACTGGGGTTTCTCACGCTGTGGTGGATGTCACCCATGCCACTGTGGTATCGCTTCCTCATCTAGCCAATGTGACGACGAGACCGGTCAGTGCCAATGTCGACCAGGAGCTGTTGGACTGCGCTGTGAGCATTGCGAACATGGATTCTGGAATTATGGCGAATACGGCTGTCAGAGTGAGTGTGAACCTTCTGTCTAGTAAAAACTTATAAAAAAATACAATTTGTAGAGTGTGACTGCGAGGCGGATCTCTCCATGGGTACGGTCTGTGATGTGCGTACTGGCCAGTGTCACTGTCAAGGAAGGAGCTACTGGCGCTCGTTGTGACCAATGTCTCCAGTCCTACTTGAGGATTCCCACCTACGGATGTCGACGTGAGGATATTTCTCTTTTGGGATCTCACTATGGGCTTACAAAAGCCTCGTTAATGTCATCGTTCACGCTCCTAGTATGGGCGGAGGCATCCAACTATTACGCCTTCTTCAGTGGTGGTGCCGCTGAGAAGGGCACAGCTGTTTGCTGTCTCCGCCCATACGATTAGGCTGGAGTGCGCTTCTGGAGAATCTCATTAAGCTATGTATACCTGTTAAGGCTGTGACGAATGCGTGCACCATCTGGTTTCCGACGTGGATCATCTCGGACTTCATATGCAAAACCTGAATATGTCGATTGGCAACATCTCATCAGCTACAGTCGTTGGAGCCAGGCTCAGCCGT